TGGGGTTTCAAGAACGTAGTACGCGCTGGTGCGTCTGGAATCGTCTATGACTTTTTATTGTACAGCGGCGATGACACTTTTCGCTATATCGCTTTTACCGATGAGGAAGAGCAAATGACATTGGGTGCTAAAATGGTGTTAGCCCTTAGTAAAACAATTCAAACTTCAGGATGTGCTGTTTATTTCGATAATTATTTCACAACGCTCGACCTGATTTGGTATCTACGTGAACACAGGGGGATTTTCAGTCTCGGAACTATACGGCAAAACAGACTGAAAGGTTGCAAGGGTCTCCTAAGTGACAAAGAACTGAAAAAAAGAGGCAGAGGTTCATTTAGCCAAGTCGTAGACAACGACAAAAAGATCGCCATTGTAAAATGGTACGACAATAAAGTTGTGACTTTGGCCTGTTCTTATGCAGATGCTTACCCAGTTCATGAAATCAAAAGATGGAGTAAAGAACAGAAACAGAAAATTGGTGTCACATGTCCGCAGTTAGTACGACACTACAATCAACATATGGGAGGTGTTGACCTGTGCGATATGTTGATAGCTTTGTACAGAACATCTTTTAAAAGCCGTCGTTGGTACATGAACATCTTTGGCCAAATGTTAGATATAGCGGTTAACAATGCCTGGCTACTCTACAGGCGAAATTGTAATATGAAAAGCCTGAAAAACATAAGTCTAAAAAAGTTTAGACAGAAGTTGGCAGTCGAATTGAGGCAAATGGGAAGATCAAATGAAACAGACGCACCAAGCCCTGTACCGAAGAAAACACTAATTCAAAACCCAAGTGCACCGAGGCCCCCAGAGTCTGTGCGTTATGATGGCATCAACCACTGGCCTGAATATACGACATATGGGTGTTGTAAGTTTTGTAAGAACAACAAAACGAACATGCATTGTTCTAAATGCAAGCAGAGATTATGCCTAGTGACCAAAAGAAATTGCTTTTATAATTTCCACAAAAAGTAGGTGGGTAGACGAGTGCCCAAACATTTATCTCGACTGATATTTTTTATACTTTAAGAACTAGAAGACTAAGAATTATTATAAGAAGAATTTTAAAGACATTTTATTTTATGTTCAAAACATATGTGATTTTTTTCGTTTCTATAAGGTTTCAGAGTTCCTATTAATGTTTTAATCATAAGACATGTAACAATAAGACTAATTTTTTTAAATATAACGAATATTTTCCTACTGAATCACTATTTTTTTTTATTCTATCTCTTTGATAATGGGAAGTATACTGCACACAGTTAGAGTATATCTGTTTCTTATGAACTTGATGATGTCCATTATAGTGGACGTCGATTTTTCAGGAAACTGAAGTCGGTAAATTTTTTCAGATATTTTTTCTACGCACCCGTACAAGCTAAGAAACAAAATTTGTAACAATTTCATTAATTTAATAAAAAAAAAATCTGTCGAATTAAGGGTTAATTAATTGTATTAAAAGATCTTCGACATTTCAGAAATATAGTAAATAATAATGTAGTTAAAAAATAATAATGTAGTTAAGACGTTGGTCGCAAAAAAATATAATGAAAAATAGAAAAAAATATTCACGTTTCTAGAGACAGCTTGAAAACAAATGAACTGATAGCCGTGATTTTAAGAACGAAAGTTAAAAAAGTATCCCCCTATAAGCACGAAAACCTTATAAACTTTATGTAGTTATAGAAAAAGAAATGTTATTATAGAGTTACAGTAATACTATTTAAAAAATATGGTATTGGCTTGCGTGAATGAATCAAACTTTCGAGAATCAGATCTCAGTTTTATGTCTTTCTTTTCGAAAATGTTGCAAAATATTGTCATAAAGTATGGCAACATTACACACACATGGGAGGTGTTTTATGGTTTCATAAGAGGCGCTAATCACTTATTATTAAATGATATGCAAGTTCAGTTGCCCTCTTCCCTAAAATAACTATATGTATTCATATTTAGACACCGTTATTCAATAAAAAAATACGAGACAGTTATTTGATAAGCAATAACCTAAAATATTCTTCTCAATTTAAACACTGTTATTTAATTTTAAAAATAAAAATCATGACCCATATACAAATTTTAATTTATTACACCTAAACACTTCACTTTACTTGTCTGAGCAGTAAATATTTAGGTTACAAAGAATATTTAAAAAAAAAAACTAAAAGTTTCCTGTTTTTACATGAAGATATGGCCATCCATAATCATCCCTGTCATCTAAAAAGTAAAATAACATAACCTCAATTTTAGATGTTAAATTATAAGGCTCGGTTCACATCCGCAATGTAAATAAAATACTGACATTCAGCTTACGACCTTAACCTAATTGGGAAAATGAAAGAGAGAAGAATTAGTATTATGATGAGTAAAAATAGACATATATTGTGTATGATAAAGATCTTTCGCGGAATTTACGTATAAAAATAGAATTTTGTCGAACAAAATATTCTAGATTGTTCTTCCCCAAATCTAATAATATGGAGTCATTTGTTTTGCTACAGATAAAAAAGCATGGAGACTAAAATTGAACCTTTTTACAGCACATGCAGTAAATAAATACGTAATTGAGTTATTCGATTTTTAAAAATATGAAAACGCTCTATTTATTTATTTATTTATCAAAATTTTATGCGCAGTGGGACATATGCGGACTTAATGCCCCAGGCATTTTTTACCAGTCAAACCTTGGGTGATGCAGAGACGAATGAATTATTGGTGGAAGAAACAAGTTTTATCTTACTTACTTATTATATTATGTCGCTAGTACTGTACTACTGTACTACTGTACTGTACTGGCCTAAAATGAAGATATTTATGTAGGTTTACGAGAGAAACGAATTCGCACCCGTAATAAAAATATGAAATCATTCATTCGCACTTACTAAAATTTGCTACGCAACACATTTAGATCTACCATTAAGCGAAAAGCAATAAATGTAAAATATATCTCTATTCGAAATGGTCGTCTGTCAAAAAGTATTCAGTAATAAATTCATAACAAGACCATTACCATGAAAAATAAAATAGAAAATAGGCGAAAAAACTTATAATATTAACAGATACTACGTTAAAATAAAAAATCTAACATCTAAAATTCTTTTTTCAAAATGACACTCACAATTCCAGACCCTACTAATTCTTGACCCACAGAAAAATCAGAAAAAAGTTGAACTTTAACCAAAGTCGATTTTTTACCGTGTCATCATCATCAGCTTCTGAGTATTCACTGGTGCAAAGACCTTTTCCCACTAGGAGAATGTTCTAGAAGAATCACGTGCTATAATTAGAACTTAAAAGTTCTTGTTACAATGATTAAGTTCAACTTATGTCACAGGTTTTTAAATCAGCTTGGAAAATATAAATTACTTTAAATAGGTCTTGGAGGTACTTACCAGGTTTTTACCGCGGCCCCATACATGAGAAGCCACAACGACACCAACCCGTGTTGTTTATACCAGAATTTCACTAACACCACACATATATCATACATTACTACACAATCAACGAAGCAAGACAGACCATCAAGAAAACTTCTTAGTACCACAGGTAGCGCTAGAACAACAGTATCACAGCTAAAAAATGAAGAAAATAAAAATAAACACATAATATTTTTCGTAACCGTCTTTCATACTAATGATCCCGGTCCTGTCATCAACATTAAGGTAGACCACGTGTTGTGAAAAGCCTCTTGGTAACATCTCAGTATCTCCAAGGTTGAGGAGAGGTCCTTTCCTCCGTTTTGATCTCTCAAGAGTCACTCCCGATGTCAATAATAACGTCGTCAGGAGAAGTGCCAGCCCTCTCGGCGCTTGCAAAAATTTGAAAATAATTGTCCGCTTTGTCATAAGCTTCTGAAGGTGTAAAATGATACTTTAAAAAGTGGTTTTTGACAGACGTGGTTGCTAGGATATATTTAAGTGTCCTGAGTCTAGTCTACGTTGAGTGGTCGGAAGTGATTGTCTCCTTGTCAAGTATGGTTATGGTTGAATATGGAGCTTATCTGGTATTAATTTTTTTTTTCAGTAATATCATTGAATCTGGTGTTGTTCCCGGTGGTTCTAGGGCTACCATTTCTACATCAGTCTTATGATTCATAAAAAGTGTGCATTACATCGTGAATGTGCACCTATGTTATCATATTAATTTATATTGTCAGTCCATTAGTGTGTTTAAAATCTGAGAAGAAATTGAATTATACCTTATAAAATTCAATTCAAACAACCCATGATAGTTATTCAGAAACATACGTAAAACGAAGCTATCGAAGTATTTTCCAAAATGTCATGAAACTGCTTCTCTCATTTGTACAAAATTTTAATATTACTTACCTGTTTCTTATCATGCCGCCATTTTTCCATTCCAAGGTTCAAAACCTTGTTAGGTATGACTTTTCTCTCCCTGTTTGTGTGGTTTTTAGTCAGTAAACACAGTAAGTACTCCTACTGACAAAAAACCACCGTTCCTGAAAAAAAAATAGTTCCCACTTAAAGTCGGACACATGAAAAAAATATTCGACTATCTTTACATAATCATAATGAAACAGGTATACAATATGTTACTATCACTGTTCAGAGGTTACTACGAGTATGTAGGAAATTATTAAATTTAATTTTTGACATAATGTATTGTATTCGTGTTTGTATAGATATTGGTCATCATAAGTAACATGAAAATAGTTGACTTATCTTTTATATAGGTAATATTATTTTATGTTATGTCAAACTATAAAAGTAAAATTAATTAGGAATAATAAAAAAGTATAAAAAAAATAATGTAAATACATAAAATAATGTTAATACGATAAAAAACACAATCAAAATTTTACAGTAAATAAAGTTCTACAAAATTCAAATCACGTAACTAATTAATGTGAATATGTTGAGAATTTATCTATTTTCCCGATTAAAGAAAACAAAACAAAAGGTGGAAATTTTGTTCGAAAGGGCGAACGACCAGTGACACCCCTGTGCGGCGACTCTATTCGTCTCAGTGCAATACGAACGCTCACGGAAAGCGGCCGTGCGGGTCTCTCTCGCCGCCACGCTCGCACGCTACGCAAACTTGAAAACTAAACCGCGGTACTAACTCAGTAAAAACAAACATAAAAACTATAAACAAAAAGTGAAAAGTGAGTGAAAGTGTAGTTTCAAATAGTTTGTTCAGTGCCACGGAGAATTTAAAGTTTTAAGGTAACAATTGTTTATGTAATTTTGTCTTGATACTTGAAACATCCGACTATCGAATCATTCTTGTTATCGAGTGATCCCGCGCCGAGATGTTTGTTCAATTTGTTAATACTAAGATTTATAGCCTCATCACTATTTGAGAATGTGTGAAAATTGATTAAAAAAAGGTCTTAATCATTTCTACAAACAAAACTGTTATGTAAGTAGATAATAGTATTTAGTTGGCATTGTATTGTAACAATAGGATATTGGTTTTCTGATGCACACGGTAGGCGCCAGATCAACAATGAAATTAATTATATAGCTTACATACTCATTAAACATTATCATTTTGATGACAATGAGTTTTAAACATGAATGATCTCTGAATGCAAGATACTAAAAATCATAACAGGATTTATCAATGAATATAATGCGGATTAGAGTAATAAACAACTCTAGTTTTACCCGCGACTTTGCTTGCGTGGACTTCCTGCAGATTTTTGATTTAAAAACTGTCCTTTATCCTTTATTGAGTTCCAAACTATATCTGTACCAAATATTACACAAATAGGTTCAGAAGTTTAAGCGTGAAGAAAAGACAGGCAGACTGACTGACAAATTTACTTTCGCATTTATAATATTAAGTAGTTTGGATTCTGATCCGTCTTCTAAATATATCCATATAATATCTAATAATATGGTCTTCTAAAAGGTAAGTAAAGTGTCAGAAGCAATAAATTGATAGGCCATTAATTTTCCCAGAAATTCTATGACAAACTTAGCAAATTGAGTCAAACTTAGGACGGTATTTATTGGAAAGTTGCTCACAGGTCTAAACTTTTATATGGAAAAGTTATCATGTTTTGGATTAAGGGATGTGTTTAATAGAGAAAGCGATGGGACCAAATTTTCTGATACAGAGTTATATTATTACACAGTAAGTATTAGGAAAACTATTACGATACTTTGTATAGGAATAACTGCATATAACTAGGTGGAATGGCGAAGTTTATGGTTAAAAAGCAATGGGAATGGCGTTAAATATATTCATTCAATACCATATATTATGTTGTCAACACTTTCTATGACCTAGACATAGCACTGTGGTCTGAGTTATTAAATAAATTTTGCCCGCATATATTCAGTCGCGTTTCTGTAATAAAATGCTTTTTTAAACGTGATTTCCTTTGATATTATTTATTCGAAGACTTTTATATTATTTTCTAAAGCATTATTAGATAAGGATTTATTCACACGATTACATTTATTTGAAGTCAGTGTTCAAGATTTTATCTGTATCAAATTTTGAATTATTCAAAATTAAATTCATTATGATTTGAATATTTTTCTTTTGCATATCCATAAGGAATATTCTGTAAGCCCTCTACAAAATATTAAACTTGTTACTACCCGTACAGTATAATCTTTTGAATTATTTTTATACATGTCAATTATAATTTTAAATATTTTCAAACAAAACATTATCACTACATTGTATTAAAGAATGTCGCTTTCTCTGTCACTATATCGGTGTGTAATATACTTAAATCTCGAAAACAACGCAACGGATTTTGATAAGATTTTTTTAACAGATTGAATAATTGAAGAGGAAGGTTTATACCTATTTATATGTATATTAAATACATTAATTAAATAGTACAGCCAGGTTACTATTTATAATTAAAAATGGATGATAAATAACATACTCCTAAAAAGACAAACCTTCTTCAAATAACATTCCCACATTGGGAAATCATTGTCAAACACAATAATGACAATATTTTCTCGCCTTATTACAAAGTGACAAATGATAATAGCTCCTAATATGGTCAGCGTAGGTCACATCTTGGTTAAGCATTGGCCAACGTCTAGAATCTATGAACAAATTCTGCCTGAATTGTAACCACCAATTACTTTTCAAGGACAAGCATTGTACTAAGCTAAGAATTATTTGGGAATTCCATATAGAGATGTCTATATACCTCATGTATGGAATGACGACGGTGTAAAATTTTATGTCGTATTGAAAACATATACAGATCTCCTTTTAAAGAGAACAGGTAAATGAAATGTTGTAATTATTTTTTTTAGAATATTAATTATATTGATCGTACTAATACTAATGACATTCGACTGCAGAATGACATTCTCATTACGTTTTGTTGTTGTGTTAGCAGTATTTTATTGATAGTTAAACAAATTACATTACTAACGCATTACGATGTGGTGATTAAGGAAGTATCTTAAGGTTGCTCTATTGGTTATAAGCAAGTATTGTGTTGATGTTAAATGGCTGTAAATAACTGTTTTTATAGTCATTTCTAATATATTTCCTATTAAGTTAAAGTTAAGGAACATTATTCTTTAACCGGAATTGCGGTTCAAGCGCATTTGGGTACCACGGCCTCGGCTTGGAGTAGGAGGAAGAACGGGGCGCTTTTAGTCAGTAAGAACCTGACACTCTCTCTCTCGCCATTCGATTTGCTAGTTTGTAACAGTTGTCTTTTTCAAACACACGTAACTGTTTTATTCAATGGATTTTGGATTTATGCGTTCTTAATCTAGCAGTCGGGGATGCTAGCGGGATAATGTACCGCGCCCCAGCCTTGGATTTCGGCTGGAGTCTGACATTCCCTCTCGCGCTACTATGCTTATTTACCATTTGATGTCATTTAATGATTTTGCATGCAAAGTGAATTCCATTAACGATAACTTCAATATACATAACACTGGAGTAGTCAGATACTTACTGCCTTATACTAAACCCATCCAAGACCAAATACCTACATGCTGTATGGAACGACATCTAGCTGAACCCGATTCACACACACCCACCCTTTCACCTCATCCGGGGCGTGAGAAGCCGTTAAATTATTTATCTTTTTTAAAAAACTAATAAGTGCAACATTAATGAATAATACCACAATTATCTAGTGCTAGTATTTAACATTGCATGTCTGTCTAGTCATATCACCTAGACTAGCACAAACATTGTTTACAATTCACTTCACTTATCAAATCATTTTACGATCTTCTCCATCATTCTATTAAAACATTATGTGTTCTACTAAAGATACGTATGTGAAGGAGGACCTAGTGTGGCACACTACACCGTAAAAATGGCTATAAAACGAGCCTAGAGCTCGTTAACCCAAGTACTTCCCGTCGACGATACAATAAAGTTACTTATTGAAATAACCACACCTTATTTTATTCTGTCTCCACTTTGTGGGCCCGGTTTATTACCTACTCAGTTGGGCACTGGCCTGGCTAATGCGTTTAGGTGGATTGAAAATTGATATCGTTATTTAATTTTTCCTCTTGTCTGGTTCTGTCTCTTTTTAGTTCCGGGTTATGTCTGATTGGACATTCGTATTTTAGATAGGACATCTGTTTGATTAGTTAAGCGATTTATAAATGTAAAATTTGGTAAATGAAACCTTGCTTTTTACAATTTCCAAGACAATTTTATAATCATAATTGGCGATGATGTTAACAAATCTACTATTTTGTTACCTACACGTCAATTATATAATTAGAGACACTTAGAAACACTGCACTCGTACGCACGTGTTTACACACACACTTTTCGAAATAAACAAACATTAGAGCGACATAGGTACATAAATACATATAAATATGATATTAATGATCTGACCACGTATCTATGTGTAGAGATACAAACATTAACAGCTGATTATATTATCACTACGTTACAGTGGTCTCAAGGAAATGAATCATTTGCGTAGTCTACAGCGCCCTTGTACTATCAAATGCTTATATGAAGTTGATTGGAATATGGTTTTGAGATACTAATGTGTAATAAATTCTTAGACTTGTTGATAGAAAACGATGTTCATATAATTAGTGCATCTTACCTTATTTATCTTTATCCCGTTCGAGGATTTTCTTTTGTACCGTGGTTGTGTTTTTAATTTTAAACACATTCATACAATTGAACATTCGCATTTATTTTTGGGAAGCCAAAATCATTAAATGAGTTCTCTCCACAAGAAGGAGTGTCAGACTGCACTAGGCCGAGGTGACCATACCTTATAACGCTTGCCCTGCAAGCCCGGATAAACATAGGTACGCATCACATTTAACTCAAACAAATCACACAACGTGTTATTCCGTGCAGAAATAAAAGCCGCGAAATGTTGGAAATTGTTGCCCAGGCAACACGTCAATCGCCTCTCTACCGCGTTTTCACCCACTGCTCGACTCCCTTTCTATCAAGCATGAGGTTTTAGACTGTATCAATCAAGAACATTGTAGCTATCTGTTACATAATTTTGGAAATTTGACCAGAGGTTCCAAATAATACCCCCTACATACAAACTTACAAATTATACCTTTATAATATTACTGTAGATACGTGCACAAATAATTTAATATTATTAATATGTATTTAAATTAGGTACACATCATCATGAGTAAATCGTAACATTGACAGGACAGAGCAATCAGTAGAAACTATTCCGGCTTCGTAGTGGATAATTCAAGATGTACTCAAGATTTCTAGTGTAGCGTCGTGTTAAAGACTACTCCATGGTACATGGGATAATGGGTTGCTTCCCTATTACAAGTATCACACCATTTGTTATTGGATAGTCTTTAAAAATACTTGCGGCTTGTTTCATGTTGAGACATGCATGTATGTATTTATATGGTATATTGCGCCTATTGTCTTAAGAAGGGAAGGTTAGAAATGTTTCTTTTTTGTAGTTTCAGTGAAATTCATTGAAATTTTCAGTGTGTTTTGGACATAATACTTAGTCGGGTCATAAGTTCTGTCACAAACTTTTGATGTAATAACTTATACGCCTTTTGACAATTATTTAAAAATTATATATGAAATGAAAGGTCATTAAATGTACAATATAATTTTATTTACATTATTCGAAATGCCCTCCCCCATTTTGAACACATGCCCTTAATCTACGCGGCCAGTCATCGATCGCTGCACGCACCACATTCATATCTATGTCTGCCGCTGCTTTAACCAGAGATGCTCGGAG